AAGCAGCAGGGCTCCAGACCTTGGGACAGGCATGTCTGGCTTACTGGAGCAGAACCAAAACAGAACACCAGCCTCTGACTAGAAGCAGGTGATCATAATTAGCACCGCAAACCCCGGTTGATCAGCTCTCCTCCAAATTCTAATTGGAGGAAGGGACAGCTGAACTTTCCACCTTCACAGAGGTGCTGTGAAGGGGAGAACTTGTGAAAAATCTCACGAATCACCTCAAAGGGAAACCGCAAGCTGAGGCTCCATTATCTGAGCCGCTGCTGCCTGGCCGAGTACTTAGGCATCACTGGGCTTTCTCAGGATACAATTTGCCACCTGTTTTCTTCTGGGCTGCATTCAGATTAGTCCGTTGGTCTCCTCGGGGTGGGTCTCGGATTACTCCCTCCAGTTCCTGGGGAGATGATTCAGAACCTCTCTGGCCACTTTTCCCTGCTCTTTGTCTGGACCTGAATGATAACAGCACTGACAGTGGCAAAAAGACTTCTGTGAGGTCACATTGGCTTCCGACAAGATTCTACCTGGAAAAGAGTAATTAGGCCACCGGAGACATAACAACTGAAGCCAAATAAAGCACAAGGGGGCGGAGTTTCTCCACTAATTCTCACCCACGGGACTCTTGCTGCTCTTGCATTAAACGCACGATCGTTGACTCCGAATGACATTCCCCAGGAGGCGAGTGAGTAACGCACTTGCTCTGTGTAAACAGTAGTACTGATAAATACTTTTTCCTATTAGATTATCATCAAGACGTGATGGAGGGTAGTGAGGATTTACTGTGAAGTCAAATCTGCTCTGTTGTCTGCCTGAGAAGCAGGGATGGACTAGAGCGAACAGTCCACGTACAAGTCAGGCAGCTGTCAGGAAGAATTCGCTTTAATGGACCCCACACTGACAGCCTCTGTACTCTGTACTGTACAGTTGTGGGGAGAGAGTTAACACAGTTCAGAGATTCCCAATAGTATGGAACCTTCTAAGGGAATCACTGCAGCATTTATTAAAAATTAACCATCAGATCCTGTGGTCCCCCTAGTAATGTAGCCCAGCCAATCAGCATTCCCTGTGCCCCCCTGGTAATTCAGGCCAGCCAATCAACACTCTATATTGTTCCCCGGGTAATATGGGCCGGCCAGTCGTCTCTTCCACTGGTCCCTTCAGTGATTTGTCTTGTCAGTCAACATTCAGCTCTCTTCCCTGAGGCAATGTGGAATTAATCACCACAAGCACACATTAAAATCTCATGTCAGAATTGTTTGAAAGGCAAACAATTCATTTTAAAGGGGAGAAAAGAATAGCAAAATTGTATGTATCCTTTATTTTTAATATAATAATGGCCAGGTGTTTGTGACTACTGTTAAATGGCCCTGATTCTTCTCTTCTGATCTGATCTTGATTCTTTTGATCTACATTACATTATTTATTTCCCACTGTTTAAAATACTGGTTTAGTTTGGAAAAATAAAACAAATCGGCAGTGGTTTGAGCAATACAAACAAGTTACTCTTTACAAATAAGATTAATTTGGCGAAAATAAATTTGTAATTCAGAATTTTCCCCAGCATGCAATCCGGAATAGAGTCAAGGAAGTTAATACAGAGGCACTTGCATGCAAATGAAATATACACATTTGATTTTCTTATTGGGAAAATAACTTTTTTATCAAAAATGCATAAAGTCAGCACAATTTAAATATATTTTTTAAGCCAGCAAAGTAACATCGTGCTAGTTTTACATGTCAAAAGGCATGATATTATAAGCCAACGCAAGTATAAAACTATTACTGCGGGCGACTCGCTTCAGCAGTTGCTAGCGGATTTTAATAACTCATTCTAATAAAAGTGTTCCCCTCTACCCGACGGAGAAGGCAATAAAAGCCCTTTTATTCAAAGGCACTTCGATTAAATTTGTAGTTTAACGGGGACGTTCAGCGAAAGTGTGCACTGTACCATTACACATACAGCGCTGGATGCTTTGCCGGCTCCTACATGGGAAAATGAAATTCTGCTGCGAGAAAAATGTATTATTCATAAATTTCTTCGTGCTGTATTATTGCTGATATGCACCGTCTTTCTGTCGTGCGGTTCCACGTAGATAATTCTGGCAATCTGTTCAAACACGTAACAAAATGCCATTCAATGTTCATCCCAGCCTAACACGTACAGGATCGATGAAAGAGACGAATAAGCTTCATACTGTTAATGCATGCTTCACGTGACTTTCACTTAAAGTTGCGTTATCGAGACCAAATCCAACTAACAAATGAAATTTCAAATGTTCAATATTTGGAGACTTTGAATTAAATACAAATTACATGAGCCCCGCATTTTAGGCAAAATTTTTGATGTCTGGGGAAAATGAACAAAAGAGTAGCAAAAAGACGTGTAAGTGAGCAGATCCTAACGGATCTGGCAAAGCAGCCGGAGTTGCGAGCCCTGGAGAATCTTTCCGTGTTTCAGTCCAAAGTTGGGAAATCAGCGCCAAACTCCTCTCCTGCACCATCTGTTCCTGCTCGCAACTACAGTACAAATTGACCTGTTTTATCGGCACACCACACACTTAGCCTAAATGAACAGATGGGTAACTGCGATGCAGTGCAAGAGCTGGAGCATAAATAACTTTTGTTATTTAAAGACTAAATTAAGAAGCGCATATTCAGTGGCGCTTTAAAATGACAACAATTATATGACTGTAATGTGAAACGCCCAAGTCGCTAATTAATTAACAGCAAGACGATATGTCTTTGATGCGATGTTTTTTCACTGTATCCCAAAATATATTTATAATCATTCGCATATATTGTAGCTTAATTTCTCCTGAAAGAAACAAGTGAACTGTCAACTATAGTCAGGTGACATTTTTCTATATGTCAATGTATTAATTTATATATCGATGTAATCACAATTAATTAACAAAATAAGACCGAATCAGCATGTTGGTATAATGCTTGAATGCATACTATTTTATAACGAGTATTTACCAATAACTGCAATGAATGTTGACACGTACACTATATAAACAATTAAAGGACATTTCAAGAATTACTGACGCGACGGGAAACAAAGCCGCTGTGAGGTTTGCTCAAGTCGTTTAGAAAGCCTGACCGTTCATTTTTCCTCCTGCTTTGTTGTTGCCCGCGGTGCTTTTAAATATTTAGGCCTAATATTTTGAAGGATGCACGACTTAATAAAATAATGAGTGATCTGAACGATTCTTTGACGCCAACCAAGCTTTAATGAACTCATCGTACCTTATTTCCCCAGTCCCCTCCCCCAGTCCTAGCAACAGTATTGGTTGTGATGATCTAATATCCGTGTGGATTTTTCCCTATAAGGGCCCGGCGGCTCTAAGCAGGAAGCAGGTGGCGGGACGCAGTAAGCGCAAAGCGTGGGGTGGGATTGGGATTTACCGCTGGATCATTGGTATTGTGAGCATAATTACACATCTATTATGCTAAATAGGACTATTCTGCAATACAATTCATCTTTCAAGGGTGCGCTCAAGGGTGTCTGAATGAGAAAAAAATATATATTAATAGAGAAAGTGGAAGTTGGGCAGAAATATGAGAGTCGTTCACTTATAGGTCTAAATGACCGCGGTGTCTAAATGGATTGATTATACGAAGGTTACGGAAGTGGTCAAAAGAACGGAGATACGCCATGGAAAATTCAAATCCAGTGGTGAGAGTGACGTAATTTGCTAGTGTACAGAGTTGTGCACGGTTGCCGCAGAAGTGACAGGCTCACCTCTGATTTAATGCACCATTAAGGCGATTCCTTGGCAGTTTGATTGGTTGATTGATTGATGAAACCATTTATTGCTGTTGCAACACACCATGTCACTAGTTACAAGTACCAGCGAAAAACTGGCCATCAACCCGACCATACATATACAAACATCACATTATGGGGGGTAGACAGGTCAGGAAGGCGGGGGGCATAGGAAGAACAGAGAAAACAGAATTACATGAGGAGAGAGGAGAATAAAAAAACAGCCCCCAGACTGTACTCCAGTAGGGAGTACAATGTAGGAACAGAAAAAAACACCTCAGCAACATAAGCACATAGTCACTACACCTTACAACATAAAAAGTCGTGACTTGCAACAGGGAAATGGGGAGGTGGAGGTAGTCCAGCATAGACAAACAGCCATCCAGTCCTGCAGCCAGAGGAGCTGGTCACAGACCCGCCTGTTCACACTGAGGGTATGAAGCGGTGAAGGCGTGGGATGGGGGGAGGGTGCAGTGAGTGTGTATCTGTACGTATGTATGTGTGTGTGTGTGTATCCAGGAGTCCTTGGGATTGGGGAAGAGGAATGCAACGACATCAAGAAATTAATGCATCAACGAACAACCACTTGGTGATTGTAATAATTTGAGCAGTGAACTAACTGACGTTTAGGCATACCGAAATACGGCTAAAGCACGGCTCTGCTTATTGGGATTATCGCTTAGCACAGGCAGTCGGTATAAATCACTGAGACAATGTGAATTCATCATTAGTTTAACAACTGCGCAGGCCAAAGCTGTATTATTATGAATTATGCAGGTGTATGAATCATGTAGGCTCTAAAATGGATAATTTAAATAGAGATAAAAGCACATTATGAATATTATGAATACATTTTTATTATATGCGATACTTAATATTAAACTATATTAAACTCGCTCAGTCAAATGAGTATGAGAAAGTATTACAATTGTATAAAATACACAGAAACAAGAGCTCAGTACAACAGCGGTGTGCAGTGACTCCATAAACCAGCGTTACGCAACCTGGTCTTCAGCGACCCAGGAGGGAGCAAAAATGTGGACTGACTGTGGGTTCCTGAGCTGCAGGTTGAAACACATTGTCCTAAACTCATCCACTCCTGAAACTGTCATGGAGGCACAGATGAGTCCTATCTGTTACATGCTAGGGGAACATCCCATAATTTGGCCACTGAGTGTATATACTATTGGATGATTTTTCCTAACATTAAAAGACAAAAAAAAATAAGTATAGTATTTTACTTTGTATACAGTTCTGACAAGAAATGACAGATTGTTAACAAATTGTTTAATTTGTGCTTAACAAACACACAAAAATACAAGTTTTTAAAATGATTCCAGAAACAGGTTTTCAGAAATGACACATTTGTTATGAAAAAATCAGTGTACTGACAAATTCACACACCTTTTATACTCAACTACGTCTAATTATGAAAGTGATTCATTTGTACAATATGATTTTAGTAGTCATTAGTGATAACAAGCAAACATCTGTCAGCTGCACTGTAACAGGATTACAGCTATAAAAGTGTTTAAAAAATAAACCAAAAAACAATACACAGCCATGTATTATGTAGCAAACAATTTCAGTGATTTCTTTCAATGGAAGGACATCAGAAAAGTGTTAAAAGGTTTAAAAAGAAAGATCTCAGCAATCTAACAGGGGTATTTTGACTTATAGTATGCCATATATACCAGTAGTGATTTTAATAAAATACAGAACAGTAACAAAGCCATAAGAGGTATCAAACAGATACAAAGAATGTAGGACGTAATTTTCCAAAGATAAAGTTAAGCATTTTTATGACCGGTGCCCTTCAGAAGCACCAGAGACTGATGCGAGTGACTGACCCGTGAACCAAGCAGACAAAATATTTATCTGTGGGACAAGTTTCAGCAGTATAAAGAAATACACATTCATAAACCAATATATGAAATTACAAAAATAATATTTACCCATCACTTTAAAAACTTTGTAAACAAACAAGCCCAGTAACTGAAGTGCCAATCGTTACTAAACACATCCTCCCCAATTTTACTGCAAAATCAACAGTTTGAGGGCACGTTCACTTCGAGTGTTCAAGCCATTTTAAAAGGTGAAATCCAAAAACATAAATAAAAGACAATAAAAATACCATCCTAGTGATTCCTTTTAATACTTAGAGTTTGTAGGAAGATCCTTTACCTGTAGTAAACACCATACATAAGAGGTTATAATCATTATATAAATTATTGTTTGACAGAATTGCAGAGTAGCCCACCACCAATGGTGTCTCGTATTTCCGGAGGCTTGTGGTTCCTTCCCCGCCAGTGAGGGGGCGCTCTCACGCCAGGCACCAGAAGACAGTAAGGGCGGCCGCGATGCCATTCAGTATGGCCATGCTGTAGCCCATGTGGAAGGAGTGTCCTGTCATCTTCCTGTGGACAAAAAGGAGAGGCTGAGCTCTGTGGAAAATAATGGTGCTCTAATTAGCTACTGCTTCAAAGTAGCATCTAAATGGAAACCTAATGGACACCAGAGACACCAATTTGTCACTAAAACAAATATCCAGACCTACTTATTTCCCCGAGCATGATGTTGCTTTGACCCTCAGACACACACCTTATATAAGAAGCCAGGTCACTGCTTTAGCTCTCTGCCATTAGGGACAGAGAAAACGCTGAGATACTGAGTAATGTTTTCATGTGGCTCCATCATACAGTTACCTGCAGCGAATTTAATGTCTGTTGTACAGAAAAACAGGTACCCCCCCCCAAACAAGCTAAAAGTGAAGTGTAATTACTCTTTCTGTTTTCAACAATTCATTTTTATAAATTTGCAATTTGTTGTTCATTTGTAATCCAGTCTGTACCGGCAGTCAGATCCTGGAAAATCTATTAATATGAATTGTAACTCTCAGTACAAATGAAAGGACTGACAATCAGGGACTCGATTATGAACAGGACTGTAAATGACAAAATGTCACCATCAAACTAATAACTGAAGGACTAATAACTAATAACTCATGGACTTCAGAGTCATGTTGAATCTTTCATCATTATATTATATTATATTATATTATATAGCCACGAATGGCATGTTTGCATTGGGCAGATGGTTCTATACCACATACATATCAAAACAGCTGGTAACATAAGAGGGCATGTAGTAATCAGAATAAAGTCTTTAAAGCACAACGAAAGCTCCTCATTCATCGAGGAAACCTCACTACTAATGACTAGGCCTGAAAAAGTCATATCAGAAATACATAAAGCCATCTCATACATGATTATTGGATACTAATCAACAGAAAATATATTACAACAATTATCCTGTCACCACAAAAGAATATGCAAAAATACAGGGCAACGTAAAGCTGGTGTGTCGCCACCACGTTTTGAAGGTGCTGGATGGGAGACAGAGACAGTAACACCTCCTCCTGGCTGCTGTTTCATGTGCAGTGAAGCGCAGCGCCTGACAGGACTCTGGCTCCCTCGCGTAGCCAAGCGACGCAGCGCAGGAGACGGCAAGCATATCGGGGGCAGAGCAAGGATGACGAAGCTACCCATCCGGCACAATCGCCACAGCCAGCCGGGACACCTTCATCTGAACCTGTCCAGATCGATTCTACACCATCCGGTTCTGTAATCCCATTTTCCGATATTCATTTCAAGGCATGGAACTGGAAAACACCGGCGATTAAAAACTGGTGGCCAGCACTGCCACCTACAGATCCTGGGTTCCGGGATCGAGTCTGACACCAGATCTGTGTACATGTGTGCAGAACGTTCTCTGACATTCCTCAGAGATGCGGCTCATTTGAACTTCTGACTGTAAGCTGGACTTATTCTCTGAGCAACGCGCGGCACCTGTGGGTCAGTGGAACAGAGTTTTAACTTTGCATAAATCCACTGTGATCCAAAACTTCATTCTGATTGGTTATTGCTCCTATTTAACATCAGGTTCTGAACCAATATAGACAGCAGGGCAGAAAGAATCATGTTCAAAGCCGCCCGAGGCCAGTGTCTCCCCCACTGCTACCCTGTGTGACTCGTGCAGTGACACTTTGTCCAGTTCTCCACCTTACAGTTTCATCATAAACCTCCTGACAGCAGTGTCTCCCTTTTACAAGCCCCTCAGCTGCTGCGGGCAGACTTTTAATCTGCCTTTGCTTTTAAGTATCAGAAATACACATTTAAAATTCAAATAATTTTATTCTAATATTTTTTAATTCCTTTGTTGTGGCTTTTTTTGGTGCAACTAACCAATTTGAATGATTTAATATTGACACCAATGTGCAAAACAACCCTGATTTTTAACTAGAGAGGTACTGTATCAAACTCATGTTACCTGTGGGTTGTTTTGCACATTGACGTAACCATATGGTTCACATCAAAGACTGCAGGCCTCACTGGGAGTGTAGCCAGTGCTGGAATGCTGCTGTGAAAGGTGCTAAGAGAGCTCGTCTATAATGGTGTCTGTGACGACTCCACTACACAGATCTGTCTCTTGACAAGCGAATTAGCAACATGGCACCTGGTTCCAAGAGCGTGCTGTAAGATGCACTCAGTTTGTCGTATGTTACCAGACTCAAACATAAATGGCTAGCCATCTTAGAGAGAGAGCCAGGTCGTCCGACTGGGTGCCACCTTAAAATAAGACTACCCATATAAAGAGTTTATGAATGGTTTATAATCTGGTTACTAATTAGGTTGTAATACTTTGCAAATTATTAATAGACAATATTAAACAAGTTATAACATAATTTTCTTTTTATTAATGAGTCACTACCATTTACAAGGCAAAAGGAACCTTATTGTAAAGTGATGCCTCTGACTGGGACCAAAACCTAATGCTGTAGCATTCAAAACTCATGTACTGCATATCTTAGTGTATGTGTCCCTGCCAGACAGTTCACATTTCTGCTCCCTTCCAGCTCCCGGAGTCCAACAACTTGAACTGTATGTGGGTCCCTGAGAACCAGACTGGGAATCACTGCCTTAAAGGGCCACTTTCAAGTTTCCATGATGGATTTCTGTCCATCCAGTCAAAGGGAACATTCAGCCATGAGCTTTTACTTTGCATTCCAGTCAGCAGCGGAATGCAAATATCATCAGTCGAAGAAAAAAGAGTGTGTTCATACTCTCAGACTGGCGGGGTGTCCAACCCTGCTGTGCCCGACAGGCCGTTTGAAAAATGCTCCCGCCCACGGCCAAAGGCACAGCAGTCGGGGGCCACAAAGGGGGAGCATGTCACCGAGGAATTATCATGCCAGTCTGATGGATGATGTAGCCAATCAGCGACACTGCAGATCACGCTGTCCTACTCACCCTCTTCAGAATAAACAGCCCTACTTCACCCAGACAGCAGCCACCCCCGATTCCCAAATCCCATGCACAAATCAGAACGCACCGGCCCAGTACAGAAAAACACATGCTTAATGAGCCACGCTTGTGAATGAAAAAGTGGCTTGTCACAATCCAAAGGATACGCCAGGGTACCACTGAGTCAAATACAAACCAGTGAAAGGACTAGAGTACACAGAGAAAACTAGCATGATTATAAGACGTCCATCGTGAGGAATGTGCTCTCACAGTATCCATAATCTACAGTCTCTTTACAAAAATATTCGGCAATCTACGTGAAATTTTCTCCAGCACTCTCATTTGCCTGAAGACGCCGAAGCAAAACTGAGCAGGGAGTGAAAGAAAATTACGGGTGGAAGAGAAGGTGTTACCCACCAACACCGGCTGCAGTACTGGTTACCGAATGCATCTTACTGGGTGATTTGAAGATGGGCAAACAAATGCTTTACCTTTACCTGAAGATAATGACTAATATCTATCAGGCCATAGGCTGAACAGACCAGCCAAAGGAATAAAACAATAGTAATGTCAATTTTAACAACAGACACCAATATTAAAATCTCTGAATTAAAAACTTTCCTTTTATTTTAATGTTTTTATTTATTAATTTAGTTTGTGCGATTTTTAAATTAAATTGATAGAAGTCATCTGTACTTGTTGAGTTTGTTTAAATGATTATTTAAGGTAATGGAGTACAAACTAAGTAGGCAATAAATAGGACTGCGGTGATGGCTCCCAGCCTTCGCTCTCATGAGCGCTAAGCGTAACAGATTTTCGTGGCGGTCTTTACAAGCCTTGCGCAAATACAACACGTTTGATGCGCTGGTCTATTTGATTGAACTTAACACAGTGGCGAGAGGAAGCGGTAAAAATGTAGTTTTGGGTAAACAGAGAGAGGGCCCACCTGAGCCTGGCAGGGGACAGCGGCGTCGGGGGAAACATGCCGGGCTCAAAGGAGTCAAAGTAGGTCAGGGTCCAGGAGAAGCTGCAGCAGGAGACGCCGGCGATGGTGGACAGGACCAGCAAGCTCCAGAACCCTGAGGAGCACATGCCACGCATGGAAAACTTACACTGTGCATTATGAGTATTGGTAATTATGTACTGTAATAGGATAATAAATAAGAACTGTGTGGCTTTCTGTTTACCTAAAAGTTTGATTTCCGAACCATCCTCAGTTGTCACTTTCTCAGTACGCAAATCTACAAAAATATATATTTGCATACATCAACAATACTCTTTTAAGTCTGATGAAATGTTGATTTTAAAAGTCGACGCTTTTTAGTGAAAACGTTTATCCTGCATATATTCATTTAAAGCAAACTGCAATACTACAACTGTAACATACACATTGTAACAAACACGATTTAGATGCGCAAAACTGGACTTATAAATTACCTTTTAAAATAACGTAGAACAATGACAAGAAAAAGGCGATGACAAAGAATAAGAGAATGGAACAGAGGATTGACAGTATCCTGGCCGGCCAGTGCCTCCCAGTGCCGCTGTGGCCCCTGAGCGCCGCGATCCTGAGGGACTTCAGGCGGCTCTGGGGACCAGACACCGCAACGCGACTCGCATCGTCTGCCTTATCTGACCCGTTTCCCGGCCGCTGCTCGAGATCCTCCAATTCCCGATCAAGCCGCCTAGCTAACGTTTCATCGGAGCCATGGACGCGCGGCATATTCAATAGGCAGACACTGCTCTTGCCAACCAGTAGATAGCTCCTCCTTTTTCCTCGATTGCCAACTAAAAAAACACAAGTGTTTTACCAAAACTGATATTTTAACTATTTTATAGTTATCGTATCATTGATGCGTAAAAATGACTCGCAGTATTCATTTATAACGTATTTCTACTCGAAGAAACTCTACACACTTCAAACCACAAATACGGACTATTATTTTCAAAACATCGCGGCTCTCATTTCCGTATCCAACGCCCTTATTTCCACGCCCACACAGCCCAGCCAATCACAATAAAGTTTTTCGAGCACATGCGAAATTTAACGTTTGTTTATTGGTTAAAAATTACGTCAATAATAACTAGAACGGCGCTTATTAAAAAAAAAATGTTTGGTTGCATCGTACAATAGTCTAGCCTTGAGCTGCCAACTGGCTGTTTCTTTTTGCCTTTGCACTCTTCACTTTGAACTTGAGTGACTAATAGAGGATTGGTTTAAAGCTTAGTGGGGGTGGGACGTGGACTGAACGCAATTCACTCAATGTGGTGTGTGAAGTTTGTATATGTTTGATGAATACATGTATATATATTTTTTATTGTAACATTTTAACAAGAATTGTGGAAATGTTGGTAGGTAACGAAACATTAGCTTTTAAATGACATTTTGTATTTATATTGACTGTTGCCCAGTTGACAGTCTGTGGATTCAGCAATTTACACGATATGACAGATAAATTTCAACTTAACAGCTTGATGTATTTACACATACGTCAACTGTTAGGTATCGACGATTGGCGATTTGGTTAAAAATGGAAACTTGCTAGCCAAGGATGATATAGGCAGTTAGTAAGACATTGAAAAAACACATTCCCCCTATAGCTGCAGCGAAAACGGTGAGACGGGTGATTTAAAAACTTGTCAAATCTGATGAAAACAGTCAGTTACCAAAAAACCGTGAGATGGCAAAGTAAACTGAAAACCGTGACACCTGACACCTGTGATAAATACGGAATAAACTAGTTGCATCGAAGTCTACACTTTGCCGGCCTATTGCGCAAAGAAAAAGGTGTATGGAAGCCCGTGACGACTTCCGATGAATGTGTCTGGATTAATGTATGGCTGAATGCCTAGCTAATTTGCTAATCCTCATTTGCATCACAATTGTTATTTTCCTTTACAATGCAGTGTAGGAAGAGTCTTTTGGAACTCTGTACCCAGCCTCTGTAGGCACCTGCTACGGTGTCCTCACACACTGTATCCATGGCAGCCAGCAGGGTTACTTTAGTGTTGGCTGGTGATCGTGAGCCTTCCACCTCCATGCTGAGCAGAGCTCCTCAGTTGGGTTAAGGAATGGGAAGTATGGGGGTCCTTGCTTTTCTATTAAAATTGTTACACTGTGTTGTGCTCTGTTAATACATGCTTGCCAATTGAAGGTTCATGAGATACATCTCTGCGCTATTTTAGAATTAGGTGATCAGTAGTCAGTGTTGACACACCACAACAAAATGTGTCCTCTGCATTTAACCCATATGTGACATAATGACATAGTAGGGGGCAGCTAATTCAGCACCCAGTGCTTGGGGGTAGTACCTTGCTCAGGGTACCTCACTGGTGTCTTGCTGATTAGGGATTTGAACCAGCAATTTTTCAATTATAAGCGTGCTTCCCTAACCATTAAGCCACCGCTGCCCAATTGAGAATTGGTTGATCACTGGTTGATCTAACACATCAATCAATTTCCTCCATTGATGAAAGTCAAGATTCAGCTAAGTGCAATTTGTGAATTTAAGATAACACCTTGATTTAATTAGCGACTGGGCTGATACCTGGCAGATGAAATTTAATGTAGATAAATGTAAGGTACTCCATGCAGGGAGCAGAAATATAAAGTACAGATATTTAATGGGTTCCACTGAAATAAAGGTAGCTGGTTATGAGAAAGACCTTGTGTGTACAGTATGTTGATGCTTCCATGTCCCACTCTCGCCAGTGTGGGGAAGCAATTAAAAGGGCCAATAGGATGTTAGGTTATATCTCTAGTAGGTAGATAAGCAGGTAGATCATGTATGCATGAATGCATGTATAGTGTGGTGTGTAGGGCTGCACAGATAAAACAATAACAACTATCAGCATGTAATTTCTCTATCAATATAGCTAATGCTTGATAAGAGTATGATATGATTTAAGACCGAACATGTTGCCCAAGACACGTTTTATGTCACAATGAATTGACGTTAATTTCTCTGCGACTGCATGTCAGGACCAGCAATGGAGCACAAGTGCAGACAGCTGTACATACACAGATTTATTGAACAAATAAGAGAATGAAATAGCTAACACAGTCAAAACAACAGGGCAACAAACAGGGCAACCATTCCAATAAGGGTGATCCAGACAAATCCAAAATGAAAGTCCACAGTAAAATTCAGTCCATGAAAAAAATTCAGAAAAGCTGGGAAGAATGTAAGCAGCGGCATTTTAGCGCTGACTGAAATAACATGTTCTGCTTTTACCTACAATTTGTGAAATGTGAAATGCTCTTTGTGAGTGTTGGTCACGTTCTGGTGATGAATATTTTGAAACAACCATCAGGCTTCTTCAATTTTCACTCAGGAGCAAAAATCAGCCTTTAAACTGGAAAGAAATAATGATTTGACATTTATTGTGATAATTACCAATACTGACTGACAAATTTTTTATTGTGATAACATTTTTGGGCATATCATACATATTATTCTTATTTATACAATGCAGATGCATGGTTATCATGTTGAAATCGACCTATTTTACCATCACAAGTCATTCATGTCTGTTGATGATAATTTCTTGGGATTTTTAAGGGAACTATTTCAGACGAAAAGGCACGATGGCCTTTAGTACAGGTTATGCTCTCTGTGCGACACACCCAAAACTGTGCTGAGAACTATGGGATTTCTTGAGTACATCACTTCTATGCTGAGGTGTACATTTCAGGTCCAGAAAGTAAAAATCTAGACCACGGTTTTGTTTCAGCCTACAACTTGAGTGCTCTGTGACTGTGACTATACTGAGTTGGTTGGTTGAAACAAAATCTCAGTCTGGGTTTTTACTTTCTGGACCTGAACTATCCACTTCTGCTTGTATGCTAGTGGTAGGTGAGGCCTCCCGGAATGCTGCCTCAGTCCCCACTGATGCAGATAAAAAGCTGAGACGTGACCCCCTTGTCCACAGCAATGCTACCTGCCACAATGCACCAGTCTGTAGATTCATGGGTGAGATGATCAGAGTCATCAGTTACATACCCCAGAGTTAGTGGGCCTCCTGCGCACACAGCTGTCTTTTCAGCATCCGCCCTGGCTGATTTTGCCAGCAGGCGTGGTGGAATCAAGGAAAGAAAAGCCCAGTTATTCAGGCTCGTGATCTGTAACTTTAATATTAAGGCTGGTCATCATGAGCAATAATGCATAATGTATTTAATGCCTTAAAGCATGAATTACGTGATATATCACAGATCATCAACATGTTTAATTTTATATTAATCGCCCATGTCTGCTGCACACCCCTGATGTAATTTTCCAGCTTATTTTTGGATTTATTAATCAGTTTTGGGGGGCAACTGAACTGAATGTTCTGTTAGGATTTGCCATGGATCTCATGGCCCAGACTTGCATGGCACAATTTCTGACTTGAAGTTGTCAGTGGGAATTTTCTCTCACCTTCCCCCCATGTACCTGCCTGTTTATTTACACCCTGGGGGCGGGGGGGGGGGGGGGGGGGGGGGGGGGGGGG